TATATATATATATATATACTGTATATATATATATATATATATATATAAAAAAGTTTTTTTCCCAACTCCTTTCATGTCAACTGATAGTTGCTGTGCGTAGCATAGATTTTGCTTTGGCTGTCATTCTCGGTGCTATTTGTTACATCTAAATTTATTATAGACAGCCTTGAATAAAAATCCTAATTTCAAATTGATGTCCTAATGACTTGGGTGTCCAGTAGCCATAACAACACCATGAGCTTTAGACATTGCCAAGATCTAGCCACTTACAGAATGAAGTTCTTTAAAACTAGTTCAGACTTTTAACTAAGGTCCCACATAGCAAGAACCAACATCCTCATTCCTACCTCTGCTTGTCATCTATCTGGCATTAAAGTCCACAGTAAACATTGCACATAGTGGCTCACAATTCACCACTGATATGACCACCAGGTGTTTGGGGGAGATCTGTATCTCTGTATCTCAGAACTACAGCGCCAAAGGTAGGTCCTTGTTTTCTTATTCAAGGCAGGATACATTTTTAATCCCCTTACCCAAGCAGGTTCAAAGGATAATGAAATATTCTTATTCATAGAAACCAGGGGTATGAGGAATTGCTAGTTGTTGTTTTTTTCTCTCCACCCAGTAGTAGAAGAAGTCCTTGGCACAATTTACAACAGCAAATGGACAATAGTTGACGAGTACACTGGCAGTCAGACATACTAAATCATTTAATAGAAAAAAAAAACAATAATAAACAGCAGATTGAATAAATATCCTGAAGAGAATTTGTGACCCTGAAGCTTAAGGCAGGAGAGAGGCATAACAAAAGGCTGACTAAAATTTCCTTGGAGTCGAAAAAGATCCCATGTACCTCTTGCATGGTAAGCAGATAGTTCAGGATGCTCTGTAATTCATCCTCCTTCACACCTCGATCCTAAAAAAAGTAGACAGCAAAATATATTATTGCAAAACCATTGACAACCAAGACAAATAGCTAAAGAATGTGCAAGTAACAAAGATAAGTAGAATATTATAATTATATTAAAAGTTATACTACCTTCAATGTCAAGCAAAGCCGCTGAAAATGGTTATACAGTAGGGGTTCTCAAACTTTTTGGGTTCAAGGACCCCTTACAGGGGAGAAAATGTTTCAGGGACCCCCTTATAACCCTCATGTTTATTACATTTTCTTCAATTTGTCTCTTTAATGCAGTGGAAATATTTATGTAACATAAATACTGAAGACATGTTCTTTTAAAGTGTTAATACAATTTTTATACTTTTATACATGGGGTATTTTGCATTCAAGACACACTTGATCAACATAATTTTTAATTTCAATTTCCAAAAATTACAGTTTTGAGAAAATTAACAGTATCAAAAAACACTTTAAAACTTTAACTATTCACCTAAACATGATAAATGTATTGCCACGTCTTCAAATTATTACATAAAACACTTTACATAAAATTGAACAGAATCATAACAGCAGAAGTCATGGCAAGTGACAGGGCTTAATTTGTAAACTGATCGATGCCGGAACGCAAAAAGCAAAAAGTGGTGGGGCTGGCTTTTGAATAAAGTAGATGTGATTTCCTGTATTTTAATGGGTTGTTCAACATCTGCTTGCTTGCACACACACACACTATATATATATATATATATATATATATATATATATATATATATATATATATTTATATACACACATACATGTGTGTGTGTGTGTGTGTATATATTTATTAATTTATTTTATTTTTTGGTTGACCCCAAAGAACCAGCTCGCGGACCCCTGGGGGTGCAGGGACCCTAGTTTGAGAACCACTGATTTAAAGAATGTTGTGTTAGTCAAGTAGTTTTATATTTTGTTTTGTATTCATATGCTTTATTTAATGTTTGATCAAAAGTCAGCAAAAAGACATGAAATAAATTCCAATAATCATAAAAATGTCAGATGACAAACCTTTTTGTAATGCTATATACAAAATTTCACTTAATACACAAAAGCAACAAATAATTTCTCCTAGATTTTTAAAATATTTTTTAGTGTGATGTTTTCCCCTTTTATTTTAGGAGCTGAGCTGTGAAATCATTTTTAAAGTTACCGCAGATGTTTTCAGTGCAGCTGTGCGGGGGACTGTGATGCTATGACAGGTGGGACATACCTTCAGAATGAGTTGCTTGAGGAAGAGAAGCATGAATGCTCGCAGAGAAACGACTTCTTTCTGGGTTGGCCTCGGACCATCTGCAGTTTGAGACATTTAAAAAAGCAATAAAATGCAGAACGAAAGCAAATTAAAACAACATCTGTCTTTTGCTGCTCGTTTTAACTCTTGCCTCTGTGTTTTTAGGGAATTATCCAGAACAAGTTTATATTATATTTCAAGAACACATTTTAAAACAACTTTGGGTTTTTACTGTATAAGGTATGATAAAATGTTTCACCAGGTTTGAACAGCCATCTTGACTCTTGTGAAACCAGAACATATATGTACATATGTTGTTCTAGTTTATGCTTTAAAATCAAAAAACGATCATTCAGCTTATTCATCCCAGGTGTGCCATCTGCGCTGCATCCAAACTCAGTATGTCTGTGAGGTAACCTTGGCCACTGTGCTCAGACCTCCAGCCCAAGGTTACCTTACTCACACCTGCCCATCACATGAGCCAACAACTCATTAAAACTGCCCAGAATTCCTCTGCCAGTTTAAGGTATGGTATGGTATGAAGTTTATTCATTTTAAAAAAAGTACAAAACAATTCCATAACAATATATAAAAAGATACAAAAGATTTAAAATGAAAGGCAGCAGAAAGAAGAAAAAATCTTATTATATCTGCCCCTTTTTTCAAACAATTATTTCAGACATATTAATTTTCAAGTAACAGAACAAAATGAATAACTTTCTAATTTTTCTAATTCTAATAAAAAACACACACTAAGCTACTTCATATATACTTTTTTAACAATCTAGATTTGATCTTTTTCTTAAATGTACACATTGACTTGACATTTTTTACAGTTTAAGGTCACTTTGGCATTCTGAAGGTAGGCTCGGATTCAAATCCTTTTCTGTTATGAGCATCTTTACACATCTGATGAGCTGAGTAGTGTTGGCAGGTATATTAATTTTACTCTTAATTTCATTGTACTGCGTATAATGACAATAAAGGCATTCTGATTCTGATTCTGATATGCATCTTGCATCGATGAAAAAGAATGTCAAACCGTAACACTCTGATTAAGCTAAAGCGTTGTTTGTGCTCTGCTTCCCCACTTGGCACAGATACTTTCTAAACCATCAGATGTATTATCTATTCCAAACACAAAGCTTTCTGATTTTTAACCAAACCATGTTTGTACTGTACACTGAGCAAATAGGCTGCAGCTAGAGGAAGATCAATATGAGAAGAATTCAGTCAAACACATCAGGAAATACAGAATATGTATTTATTACCTCTTCCAGCAACACAAACCAACAGTGAGATTAGCAGGACTCAGTGCAACACAAAGCCTTAGTTTTGGGCATAAATCCTGGTGTATATCAACTCATTTCTTATTCATTCTGCATGACGAGCAAGGTATTAAGACAGACAAAATCTTATGCAGCTGCAGAGCTATTATATGGAAGTAACTGGGTCAAATACAATTGCAGAAGCAATTCAGAGAAAATTGGTCACTTTGCCCAGTGCCCCCCTTTTTCTTCTTAGTACTGATAAACTCCAACCTCTGCCTTGGCTGAACATGTGTTCATTTGAAATGGGAGCAGATACAGTGGCAGCAGACACCTGACCATCCTGCTCCGACAGCTGGTCAATATAATCGATGATGAGGCTCCCTGAGGTAGCAGGAGGAAGCTAAGTGCTACTGCATCCCGACACTGATTAATAGCAAGAGAAAGGAAAACCCACCGTAGGGACAGGGCCCAACATGAAAGGGATGATAAGAACATTATTACCACAGCCACTGCATCTAAGTTATTCTCGAGCAATTATGCTCACCAACTTGGCACAGCTCTTGTTTCTCATTCAAAGATTGGTTTAATTCCTGCATCCCAAGGGCACAAGGAGAAAGAGCTTATTGAAAAACAATTTATGTTCATGAGATTATTGCAGGAATCTCATTTCAGCTTATGAATGATAATAATGAACTCAAGACAATAGCATGCGTCCTCTATGTAAGTACAAACCTTTCAATAAACAAACACAATTTATTACATGTGCGCTCCACGTTTCTTGATGAAATGAACAAATGCTGATAAAGATCTGCAGTAGCTGTCGCAGGTTTACAGAATTTTAATGACAGCAAGCCTTGTCTGTTTAACCTGCTATGATTTAAGTTGCAATGTGCACACTTTAAACTGCAGAGAGGGAGAGAGGAAAACAAAGTATTTAAGGAGATCTAAAGAAAACACAGAGGGGAAGAAGTGTATGTATAAAGTGAATCTCCTTAAAATACACAACTTATTAAATTAATTAAACTCATCTCAAAAGTAAAAAAATGAAAAGACTCAAAAACAGTAAACCAAGACTCCAATATTTTATGTACAGTAGTCCCTCATTACTTTGCGGTTCGACATTCGCGGACTCGCTCTATTGCGGTTTGTGGATGTACAGTCCATAATTTTGTACAAAAACAATGTACAGGACACATTATTGTCAACTTTAATATTACTCACGTGATTGGGACAGTAATACTGTACAGTAAAAAGTTAATGAAAAAATAAAATACTTCGGCTAGGCACCGCCATTTTCTAGTTTTCTCTCACTAAGCCTCCACTGTATTCATGCTCATAATGACCACATTTCCCAGATTGCAACAGAGCCCCGCCCAGAAGCCATTTCCTTCTGCTGAAAAACTAGAGGAAAAGTGGTGATCTGATCTGAAACATGTGGCACTTATTAGGAATGCACCGATCCACTTTTTTAAACTTCCGATCCCAATACCTAAATCTGAATATCAGCCGATACCGATCCAGTTCCGATATCATCATCATCATTGATTTTATATGAGGCTGTTATAATCTCCTCTCAAGTACAATTTGTACAAATATATGCATGCATGTCCAAAAAGGCAACTTGAGGTAAGTTTTATTAATGTTGAATAAATTTTAGAATTAAATTCTGCTAACACAAAACATGTTTTTTTTTAATTCCTAGCTTTCAAGTTGATATTAAAGTGATTAATTTAAGTGATTGTTTAAAGTTATTTTATTTTATTTTTTTAAATAAGGGGCAGATATAAGATTTTTCTTCTTTCTGCACTCTTTTCATTCAATGTTTTCTTTTTGATGATGTTTTAAAATTTTGTTTCATCTAAATGAATGAATAAATGAATAAAATAAAATAAAATGTTAAATGGCTTTAAACACCTGCTAAGTTTGTGGCATAAACCAACAGACATGTTCCTGCTTTTAGTATTTTACATCACTTTATAATGTAGCTGT